TAAATTGAACAAAAAACTGTTATGAACTTTTCAAAACATGCCCCAGCCCTGTAACATGTCTAGTTTTAAAGATCTGATAGAAATATTGGCAACTACTTTTCGATTCTGCAAAGTTTAAATGTGTAAAAAGTAGTTGCCAATCAGATCTTTAAAACGAGACATATTACAAAGCTGCGGCATGTTTTGAAAAGTTCATAACAGTTTTTTGTTCAATTTACGATGTGTTGCAGCTGTCTGCATCGTTTGGTTTACGATTTCTAGAGAAAACAAAATGATGAAAAAACGTTACGGAATTTCTTTACGGTAGCAGAGTTAGCTGACCATGCCGTATGCCACTTTTTTTCTGAAGAACGGTACAACGATAGTTTACTCATTAGTCTTTTTTGAAAGGCATCTACAACTTGGCAAAGACGAGTGTCATTCCAGTTATGGCGATACTTCATGAATTAATGAGTTTCATTAGTACTCGTTTTTGGGGGTTAGGCATGAAATGCTAACTGGAAATTTACGAAACTGAAATTCAAAAACCGTCGTCGGAGATGTCATACTTGAACGACGAAACATATTGAACTGGAAACTTTTCCATAATCTGCAAATATGATCTGTTGTATTTCACGAAAGTTTTGTTCAATCAGATACACAGTGAGGAATAAGCTGTTCTAAGGAAGGAATTTAGAGAGGGATACTTCCACGAAGGTCCGCCCACTTTTTAAGAAACTAAATATCGGCAAATTTTACTATGCTAGGTTTGCAGCCTGTTTGTGTGGAGTTGTGTAGATATGACCTTCACCCAGTAGCTGAGTCATTTAATAAGCGCGGCTCCCTGTAGACCAATGGTAGAAATGGACATTTTAGGCTGTTTGCTTTAACATTTTAAGCTTACTGTACTTTTCCGAGAAAGTTCGAAGAGTTCTGAATGTGATTATCAAAAAGAGCATCCAAAATACTATTTCACCCGGGAAATAAAATATTTTTCCTCTAGCGATCAATAAAAATTTCGATCTGGGGACGTACGCATTCTAGCTAAATACATGAGATTTTATAATAATAACAGACTACCAAAAACTTGATGACATCTGAGCATTTTTTATGAGAAGGAAGCTCATTTGTATTCTATTGAACGACAAAAACATTAAGTTTTTATCATTCTTCGTTGTGCTATGACATGCTCTACAATGTGTTCTGTCCTTTCACTTTTCAAAAGAAGTTCCCTGTCTAATGTTATCTGTAATACTAAAATGATACTCGCCCTTGAGCGGTTTCAGCATATTTTTGAAAAAAAAATATATCGAACTGAGATAGGGAGTAAATTATCTATAGTAAAAATTTCAATCCGATTATATCATCTTTTCGAGAACTCGTAATGTGACTGGATGATGTTTTCAGAAAAAATCATATAAGAACATGTCAGAAAATTCTAAGCAAAAACACATCAATCGATTCTGTTTCTAGTATAAATCTGGAGTCAATCGAACCTTTGATTCCACCTTTTGCAATATGATTAACAAGAGGGGGTATCCCTAAAATGATATATGTAAAGGCTCTGAAGTAATTTATCCTCGAATTTTATTTCAAAGATGAAAATAAAATAGTTTACTATAGATAACTTTTTATGTCAAACAAGGATCTCAGATTGATGAACTTATGCGACTTTTCCATGTAGTCAAATTCTTATACATTAGCCGAAAAAACGTAACATTCAATTCCTTAATGTTCCTTGTTTCCTAAAGTAATCTTCTTAAACAAAAATCGATCGTCAGTATCCAGCGAGCATTATCTATGCAGATTACAAATGGGAACACATTATACGAGCTTAAAAAAATGAAATTCAAATGTAGTGACTGAACAGATATTATATATATTCATGTGAAAGGAAGCGACACCATTATCTCACGATCAGAATAAAGTAAAAAGCAAAAGTATAATATTATCTGATATTCTCACGATAATATACACATTCTATACTCTTTTTTTTCTATCATGAGCTTTTCTTAGTTTAACCGGTTAGTGAACAACTTTCATAATGTATGCTCAAAGTAGGAAAAAAAACGTGTATAGAATGTGTATATTATCGTGAGAATATCAGATAATATTATACTTTTGCTTTTTAGTTTATTTTGATCGTGAAAAATGGTGACGCTTCCTTTCACATGAATATACATAACCAATTTTCAGAACCATACAATAGTTACTCTTCATAGTTGGAACAAATAGTCTTCAGATAGAGCAGAATACTTAGTGAAAGCTTCGAGTTTAAAGAATATTCGTAGACTAAGTGATGAATTCTTTTGGCATAATGGCTTTGAATTTCAAAAGTGACTATTGATCGTAAAATAGCTTCATTTTAGTAACTATTAAGTGCCAACAAACAAAATTTATACTGTAGAAAGAGAAGAACCAGAACTATATTTTGGAAAAATTTCTTTCTAGCATATGTTAAATAAAATGAAGGATAATTCAAAGAGAACAAATACATTTTGAATGACTTGTTTTTTCTGTTTCAGAGCAACTATTAATTGCTGTTAAAATTTTTAGTCTAATCAGAACTCTCAATATCCACACTCAGTCATTTAATATCAGCACTATTCAATGCTTATTGTTGATTGACATCGATCGCTTTTAATTTTTGTAATGAAAATGTAGTTTGATTTTTTTCAGATGTTAATCGTCTTTTTACTGGGACGTTCTGATTATATGTTGTTGTCTATTCATTGATTATGGATCAAAATAATCAAGACACAAATAATATTCTATGGAATGGTGCAGGTGGTGGTTATCCCGATGGAGGAAGTCGAAAACGAGGGGGAAATGGTTTATTATCTAAAATTCCAAGTTTATTTTTTCCAGCTATTATTTTGCTGGGATTTTCATGGGTGTTGCATACCCTAGCCACGTTTATTCCCTATTGGTCAACATTCCGTGGTGTCAGTCATTCAAGAGCAGGTAAGGAAATGTGTAGTTTTGTGTAAACGAAGATATGCTTGATTTAAATGATGAATGTTTGAAGGTTTATGGAGTGCTCGAGCAAACAGTACGATGATACAAAATTTTTATTTTCCCCCTGCTTCACCTCAAATTCAAAATTTGATAAAGTACTCATTTACTAGTGCATCAACAAAAGGTTGGTTCAAAAAGTGTTTGTTTATAATGGATAAAATAACAATCATTCTATTTTGTTTAGCCTATATTGTTACTGTTCAGTTTTTGATGACATTCAATTTCGTCTTTATGTTGATTGTTCTGGTATTGCTATTCATGGATCTGATATTTTATGAACGAATGGGTCGTGACAGCTTTTTACAAGGTGAACAAAATTCATCTGAGACAACACTAAAATATGGGCTCTTATTGTATATTATCTATGTTTTTGGTATGTATACTTTTTTTTTGTAATCTTAATTTTTTATCTGCACCCAAATAGTCATCCTGCCTATTGAATTTTATATTGAAATAGAAAATGATCATGTAAGCGCATTGTATAGAACGTAGTGTAATTTATTTTGAGACCAAAATACTACAATACAAGTGTATTTCTGTTTGTTTATTTGCGATTTCAGCTGGCACTAATTGATTTTATAATAACTGTCTTTTTTATTGATAGGTGTCTTTGAATGGGCTGCGTGGATCACCTACGTTGGTTCTCGCCACGATAATCGATGGCATATGCATGTGTCATTTGCATTTACTGTCATCGTTTCCATATTTCTAATTGTACTTATTTTCATGTTCATTATTGAATTTCTTAAAAGATTTACGTATGTTACTTCTTACCTCCGATAGTTGTGCCGGTATTCAATATGCCTAATATATGTTTCAGATTAAATCGTAAAAACTGGACAAATTGGTATGGACAATGGACAGAATGGGGTCTTTTCATATTTCTGACAGCTCTTCTATTCCTGTTAATTGCCATTTGTTGTCCAGAATGGGCTTATGCTCGTAGTAATTCTCATCATACATTTGCTGAAGGAGGATTATTTAAACAATGCAACATGACAACTGTTTACAAAAGAAAGCCAAGTCCAACAACTCAGTGCACTCTATCTAATAGTTCCAGCAATCGATGTAAGTAGATACAACTTCTGCAAATACACATACTTTAATTTATTGAACATTTTTAGCATGGATCAATACTGCACAAGCTTTTTTCTTAATAGCTTATATCGTTGGTATTCTGCTACTTATTGCAATGGTTATATTTCGAAAATCATTTCAACATGATGAAACCGGTTATCGTACAGCAGTAGAAGAAAGATTTAAAGTTCCTCAGCCCCTCTTCAGTTATATTGTCGCTGGAATTATGATCGGGATTTGTTGTATGTGAAATATCACCTCATAATTATCATAAGGTTTAAAAGTGATATATCTTTTATTTCAGTTTTGTTTTCATTAATTGGTGTATCGGTATTTGGCAGTTTTATATTTGATAAAACAGGCTATCGTGCAAATTGGGCATTTTTAATAGTCATCTTTGCCATGATACTATTTCTTATCGCTGGAATTATGTTTATTTTAGATGCTGTACACAGCTATAGACAGTAAGTAATAATGTAAAATAATTTTGCAAAATGTTTGACTCAATAATATAAACGTGTCGTTTAGAGCGCTAAATTCAGCCTCTGGTATAGAAAAATTTTTTTTTCCTGCTCCTTTGAACCAACGTGTTCAGTCCATGGCTCCGCTGATTCCACCTCAATTCCCACCAACAATGATGGGACCGTCTACTACTCCCGGGTTAACCATACCGAATGGCTCAACAAATGTTGCTTCATCTGGTTTCCCTCAATTCAATGATGCAGGCTCTCGTTCGTTTCAGTTGCTACCGGTTAATAATACAGGTGCCGCTCCCGTCACTCAGGCACCATTTGGCAATTATTTCAACGGAGGAGCCGATTTTGGTCCAAATGCTCATCTGGACGAATATCAATCAAATAATCAACCAGTACCGAATGACTATACATATCCAAAAACAGGAGGTGGTAATGCATATCCACAAGCAAACGGTGATAATGCATATCCACATACTGGTGGCAATGCATATCCACAAGCAAACGGTGATAATGCATATCCACATACTGGTGGCAATGCATATCCACAAGCAAACGGTGATAATGCATATCCACATACTGGTGGCAATGCATATCCACAAGCAGATGGTGGTAATGCATATCCACATACAGAAGGTGACAATGCACATTCATATACAGATGGCAGTGCATATCCACAAACAGATGGCGGCAATGCATTGCCTAATAATTCCTCTAGGGGTTTTGGACCACCGGTTCCATTTACATCGACGAAAAAAGGAAATGTTCGTGAAACGGTTCCCGTCATTGAGCTTCTTCGTCGTCATTTTGTCCAACAACAGCGTCTTAATTATAATCATGAACGACTACTTGAACGGTTTCAACAAATGAAAACCCCATTACCGTCCGAGTTTCGTACGTATGGCGTGTCAACATTACCAGGACGAAATTATGATCGATGGATAAACACCAATCGTTTATCTCAATTATCGCGACCACCGTCGGGAACATCGTCAGAGACATATCGTTATCTTGGTGAGGCAGGAGGACCGGCATGGGCAAATGAACCATTTTACGGTGAGCAAGAAGGAAGTGCAAATAGCGGATTTGGAAGATATACAAGAAATGTAAGTTCCATAATGCAAAATCGGGCTCAGGACTCACAGACGGTCGGCTCATATCAACCTGCTGATATTCATGATGAATCGTCTGGATCCATACCGAATTATATTAGACCAGTGTTTAGTCAAAAGAAATCTAATTTGGATGATAATGATCAATCAGATGAGGAAAAATCAAGTAAGTCGTGCAGGTGGTTTAAAGTCTCGATATTTATTGTAGTCGTTTAGATGAAACCCGGAGTCCTCCGCCAGGTGTTAAAAAAGGCTACATTTCATATCCGGCTTGGAAGCGAAAATATCAAGATGTTATACCAGTAAATCCATTTTTATACAATGTACGAACTAGTCGACCAAATAGTACATATAATTTGTACAACGGGTCTCACGGGTTATCAACAGCAACTCCCACATACGAAGGTCGAAATGCTAGTTCTGTATCAATTGATTCAACATCAACAGAAGTACAAAAATTAACAAAGAATCAACCATATCATCATTTACAGCAATCCGATGCAGAAAATGGACAAACAAAAGTTGATGATACACATAAGCCATATAGACGTGATACATTAGAATTAATTGAATCAGGTATGAATATTAATCGATCTGAATGTGATATATAATTAAGAAGACTATTGTTGTTTTAGCACGTGATAACGGTCCAATAGTCGACAGTCCACCTGATTCACCCATTCGAAATAGACGCAAAGGAAGTGATAGTCAAAGTATTAATTTTAATAAACTAAGCCCAACAGTCACTACACACTCACGAACTGATCCAGTATTTCCACGGACACAACCTGTATCTTCGAAAACTAACCCAACTTCTTCCCAAACCCCATCGGTGTCGACGCAAAAACCCAATCTAGCAGTAGCTGAGTCAGATCAAAGCTCGATTAAGGACACAGCAGACAACATAGCGCTCAGTATGTATTTTTAAAAACTACATTAATAATCGTCTGAGTATTTTATTCCTACTTTTAGCAGCAAACACAAGTGATGAGTTTCTATCGACTCCCAAATCTACGATACCAAATGCGCCACCTCTACCGTCGAAAGGCTCTGATGACATTTCAAGTGAGAGTGGTAGCGACGATGAAGAAAATAAAAAACGAAAGGAACGACGAAAAAGGTTCGTACTTTGACCATTCGACCGACTAGACAGCATATATTTTAATAAAAACTAAACGGTACGACCGCGTAACTCTACTACTGGAGTGAAATTCTAACAGAAAATTTTCACATTTTGTCCTACTTATAGTTTTTCAACAAAAGAATATTTAGATCTGTGTAACATTGATAATTGTAGAGTAAACTGTTATGGNATCAAATGAGATGTTTCCATGTGATCTTTCGTTTAGAAAATGCAAAGAATATACGAAACACGCTTTTTCAACTTTATGTCAAAAAAGTAACGTTTCTTATGTTCTTTGCATTTTCTAAACGAAAGATCACATGGAAACATCTCATTTGATCCATAACAGTTTACTCTACAATTATCAATGTTACACAGATCTAAATATTCTTTTGTTGAAAAACTTTAAGGCCTCCCCCGGGTCAGAAACTTATATCAACCCAGATAGGTCCGATCTGAACCAAACTTTCAGGGAATGTTGACCAAGTCAAAGTGTGGTAACGAAATTTATTTTTGGCGCCACTTGGAATCATTGATGGGAGGACGCCACAATAAGGATCAGAAATAGATATCTACCACGAGCAAGAATTCTCATTCCAGATATATGATCGAGAGCTGGGGCTGTTTTTGTTTTGCAGTAAACACCTATGGCTAGGAGTTGACAGAGCCCGATTTTTGAATTTCTCGTTTACTGATTTCTGGTCCTTAATAGAACTTTAAAGTCCGCAAAATCCTCGGAAGGTTTCTTAGAAATCCTCATTTCTATAAAAAAATAGAAGCATAATTTAAAAATCAGATTCTATCAAGCCCTAGCTATAAATGTTATCTACAAATCAAAAAAACAAAAATTTTCTGCGATTTTATCGCTACCGAAAATTCCTGCGCGTGGTGAAATCCTGAAGCTAAAAACAGTGTTGAGAAAAACGTAAAATAAGTTTTGATTCTGTTAAATGTGTGTTTAGTTAAAAACTGTTTGAGCGTTAAATGATTTGTTGATACTTTGCTATAGGTTATTGGTCATAGCGAATCCAATAAACATGTGTGGCACATGCGTGCGCTTATGCAATGCAAGTGCAACAAAGCGGGAGAGGAGGCTTAAGTAGAACAAAATCTGAAAATTTCCTGTTAGAAAAAAAGCTTTACTAATAGTCATACAAAATTCATTAAATTAACAACCAAAATGTATATTTTTGAGGCAGCTGGCTTTTTTGAGCGATCGACATGATTTAAAAATCAGTAATTGGTGCATAATAGAACACAATAATCTATATATATTTTGAAATTTTTTGGCGTTTCTTCTGAGAGAACAGAATCTTGAATTTTGCTCTTGAGTGATGGCTAACATATTTCTTTTTCTAGAGCTGCTGAGGGTCTAAGTGTACATCGAAACAGTGATGAGTCGTCGTCTGATGACGATACAAAAAATGAACCCAAAACAATGCAAGAAAAACAGGCACAATTAGCGCGATTATATTAAACGATGATGGAATCTATAAACTATATTATTTCTGTTCTCTCTCTTTGAAAGTGTAAACACTTTCGAAATACTATATTTTTGTGTTTTGTTAAGAAGTTAAATTTTATTATTCTTAAATAAACAAAAAGCGATTAGTGATTATAGCAAGTTTTTTTCTTTTCATCAATAAACTAGTATGCTACTGTATATTATAATTCTATTCGATGCTTTTCGCTGCCAATATGTTTTACTAAAAAATTAAGAAAATAGTTAAAAATACATTAAAAAATGCCACACATAAACCCTGTACAATCGAATGTGGTAAGTTGAAATCTATCATTGCAATAATTGAGGCGAAACTAAAGAATGATATAATTTGAAACGGTGCGTGCACTCGACAATCATTTACCTATACCGTCAATAATGATTCTACTAGTTAGTAAAACGAGTTGTTGTATTGAAGTTGCAAATAGAGATGTTGTGATCTTTTTCAATTTTAATCGTGAATCTCTGAAGTGTGAATAGATAGAATTTTTTTCAGTTGCCAGGCGGTTTTTTTACTTGTAATTTTGCACTCATTCAATAACAAACTCCTCACCGACACCGAGCCGAAATTCGGTGAAAGACACTATTAGACCAAATACGGAATACAAATAAAAGATTGCAAGATAAAAAATTGTGCACTTCACATAAAGGCCGAAGAAAAGCTCGAGGTTCATAACATCCTTAGTTGTAAATATTATTTCGCTAAACAAAAATGGGATCAGATTGTTTAGCTAAAAATAGCTTCAATTCTTTATCAAAATAATACAGTTATATATAAAATCGTTCAATTCCGCTAAGCACCATGTCAAATACTTCATCATGCTCATCTTTGCCTAGGTCCAAAATCCTAACAGAAATTCCGCAGAGCCTCTCCCGATAGGATAACTTAGGTTCCTTTTGGATCTTGTCACAGTAACATATAATATTTCATGTAGAAATCTTATAAAAAGAATCTCGCAGTATTCTATGATAGAAAATCGTCAAGTTCCTACAGAATCTTGTATTACTCAAAGAAACGAAAGTGTACGAAATCTAAACCGATATAGAGAGGTGCAACCATTTCTAAATCATTTTAGGTTTCGTAGAAGAAAAGGTAGGGTACGAAAACTGTTTAAGTGCATAAATTCTATAAGTTTTTTTCTAAATTTTCTGAGCACGTGGACCATTCCAGCAGCTTAGGCGTGCTTTCATAGTATAGAGTGACGAAAACTGAGCCCAAAAAATATCTGAAACTTCGTTAATTTTTGATTTTTCTTGAGAAAATCATGAGAAAAAAGCATAACAAAATAAGCAAATGCACTGATCAATCGTGTCAATGCACTTAAAACGGTTTGTGTACGAAACCTAAAAGGGCACAGGTAAGTGCAACCATTTCTAAGGTTGCACCCTTTTACGTTTCGTAGAAGAAAAGGTAGGGTACGAAACCATTTTTTGAGAGAGTAGGGAGTGATATATCTTTTTTTGGTGTTTCTATGATCTGCATAGATGTATCAAAGAAAATAGTCTGGTTGAACTGACAGACATATCTAGTAGAGTGACCAGAGGATTCTAGTTGGTTTCAGTTCCAGTGGGCTAGCATCGGAATTAAAAGGAAGAAAATATAGGAAACAAAAAGAAGAATGAGTACTTAAATTAGTCAGAATTAGATATGCACCGGTTTCGGTTTTGAAACCGAAAAACCAATACCAAAAAAACGATGTTCGGTTTAAACTGACACCAAAAAAATTTCAAACACTGTTTTTACGTTTTAAAATGATATAATGAGTTAGCACATGACATCTACTTACTATGTCAACGAAACATCTAATTTTATCTGTGTGCACCATCTTCGGTGTGTTGATGTTAGTTTAACTTTTTATTTAAAATAAGAAAAAAAAAATAACTACCATCCGTTTCAAAATACAATCTACTCGGTTGTTTTCTTAATAACCTTTGAGAGAAGAGAGCTAGAGATTTGCGGTTGTCACTAATCGAAAGCCAAGACTTTTTGGCATCAGAAAAAGAGATTCATCCGGTTCGATCACTACCTGCAGGTGGTGTGTCCTTCAAGAAACAATGGATTTTAAATTCAAATATTATCAGTTGATAGCCCATATGTGACTCTACAAAACTACACATGTCCCAGATCACCAGTTCCTATGGTCCCAGTGTTATTAACATTCCCTGAGGACAGGCCTATTTTCGAACAGACATGCGTGGGAACATTAAGAAGACATGCTTCATAGATAATCAACTGCGCTGATCATCGTGGTAATGTTTATTTTCTTTCCAAGATTAACAGAATTTCAGACCAGCCATTTTTACTGTCTGTTTGTGTTTTTTAATGTCTGTTAACCCTTCGTAGCTATCGTGGGGTCCACGTGGACCCACTTTGCGATGTTTTGTTTCTCGCTACGCCACTATTAAACCTTTCAAGTCACTTTCTTCTGTAATCATTGGTATAGTGTTCATGCACAAGAACCTTTCTAAATTTTATCAATATGTCTTAAGGGCAGAATTTTAGAGTATGGGTCCACGTGGACCCCAGGACAGCTACGGTATTATAGTCATGATTTAAAGTCCGGTTTGAGCTGCCCTCTATTATTCTGGTAACTCTCTAGAAAAGACATTCGTTGGATTGTCATCACTTAAGTTTTCTCTCGACTTCTCCTAGTCGTAAGCTCGGGTTCTTTAATTAAGTAAGACAAGAAAACTCTCTCAGTATCCTAAATTAAACAAAGTGCCAATTCACTATATGTAGTATATTTAACGCGACGCCTCATGCCGAAAGTCAAACTTGTTCTACGATGTCTCGTCTATGATCTCCAGCTGGGTACAAAGAAGGACCACAACGTTAATACCAATGTGAATCGAGCGAAGAAACGATGCTCTCTTTGTCCAGCAAAACCTGGACGTAAGGTTCGACAAATATATGATGGTTGTGGGCAGAGCGTGTGCCTCTTTCATTCCAATAGCATCACAACAGTGACCTGTCACTCGTGTCACAAGTGATTATCTGAGACAGCGTATAGTGAACAAGCAAAAAAATATAACAACACTAGAACAATAGCAACAGTAGACTTATTTATAGTAGACAGTAGTAAAGACAGTTTTATGATTTTAAGACAGGAAAATACAGGTTTTTATGATTAAAACAGTTTTTATCCATACCAAAATAAAAAACGAAGTACGAACATGATCTTTTGTATTTTCTATCTAAGGGCCACTAAGTTTTGATATATTAGTACATGTTCACAACATACATTTAAGTGGTTGAGCCCCAGAATAGCTATATATCATGAGGTGTAAAAATTCTTTAAAAATGTTCTCTGAACTCCAAGCTAATGTATTATCGACATATTTGTCGATATATTCACGTGCAGACCGAGGGTAATTAATGTCTTCTATCCATGCATCAAATGCTTAAACGAAAGAAAGAACCGCTACTTTTAAAATATTTTTTCAAGGTGGGCCCAACTGGACCTCAGGACAGCTACGAAGGGTTAATAAATATGTCTGATATAATAGAGTATAAGAGAAACAGCAAGAATATATCTCATGGCTTTTTAATCTTTTCTGATTAGCCTGCTTGTTGATCAAAAAGGTTCAGAAACTATCATTTATCTAATAAATGCTCTTTCTTTGAAAGGCGGCTATCGAGACACAAAAAGCTTGTCAGCGTTGCTTCTGCAAAGCAAAAATGTGGAAACTTCCCATGTGGAAACTTCCCATCCCACTGTTGGACTATAACATAGAAGATGTATAAATAAGAATATAAGGACGTTAAATAAGAATAGTAGCGCGTAAATAAAGTAAACTTCTAATTAATAGCTTTTTTTTCTGTTCATATAGAGAGATATGGCAATAACTTTTAAAACTCGTGTCTCACAACATCAGATCGATAATGCATCGTCTGTTACTAGTCGATTCAGGCGCTGTAACGCAATACGTGACAGTGGTAATAACTGTGTTGTGGGAGTTTATGTTCTAAGTCTCAAGTCAGTAACGTATATGTCTGATATAGTTGAAGTAATTTTTCCCGGACCAACGTTTTGAGAGAAATTTATTGGCTCTCAGAATTTTATGGAAATTTGTCCTTTACGACAAAACCATCTATTTTCGTTTTGGATATTGTCTAACTCGTTGCAACGCATTAATATCGATCGTGTTACACCGAGTTCCATTTTCTTATCTCATTGCAATGAGATAGAAAAGAATAATGCACTGTAATCTGTTAGATATTAACTCGTTACAATACGATATGCATTATCTAACGAGTTATAACGCTATGAAAGATTTTTCCAAATTTATGATATTATAGTTAGATAAAACATCTAAAGTATTATAATGCATTACTTTCTAGCGCAATATACTGAAGTAGAAAACTCAAACGCGTTATAATACATTAGAATCTAACGTATTATAACGTAGACAAATCTAATTGCCTTGTAATGAGATAAAAGATTGAAACGCATTATAATGCTATAAATTTATAGAGTTGTAATGCAATGGAAATTGTTATCCAGGTACAACGCCACAAATTCCTGAAAAATAGCTTTGCATTGTAATGAGATAAATCTATAGCGTTATAATACTATAATTTAACAAAAGCATGTATTATAGCGTTATAACGCTATAAATAGGGGAACAAAAGATCCTGTGGTCAGCTACTGACAAATAAAAATCCTGGAAACCAAAAAACCCTCGTATGTAAACTTTATACTTCAAACTTCCTTTTCTTTCGGAAAACGGACGAGTCCTAGGAAGTTTTCACAAATTTCACAATAATACTAAGTCTGCATTAACAACTAGTGAAGATCTATGTTGATATACATTAGCGGTTTTATTCGCTTGATTTAACCCCTTGAGGACGGGAAGGCCATATATGGGCAAAAGTAGCGACATCCCTTTAACTCAAGAATCATGATAGCTAGGGGCTAAGATTACACGCTCACCTCTGACTTTCGCCATTTCACTTATTTTGCACCCTTATATTTTCAAGCAAAACTAATAACATATTTGAGATCAGCAGGCAAAACTAGGTCTAACAGCATACATAGCGTTCGGTTTTCGAACAAAAAAATTTTATTGAAAATTTTCTCTCTACGTTAATGGTGAGTGTGTAATCTTTCTGATAAAAGTTTCTCATACGTTTTTCGGATGTCCTCACTCTCGCTCTTCTGTGTATGTTTCAATCGTGGGTGCGTGTTCTCAATGAATTTTCAGAACCACACAATAGTTAATCTTCATATGGTAGATATAGTAGAGTTGTGGGTACATTTTAGTAAAACGAAAAGGTTTTCATTTCTCTTAGATCAGCAGCTATTGATATTTTACGGAGAAAAATAAATCGCTTATATCTCACGAACCATCTAGTAAAAGAGGCCAAAACTTGGTGGGTGGTCAGCATTCGGTAAGAGCTATGACCACACAAAATTAGAAGTCCCTAGCTATCATAATTCTTTCGTTAAAGGGATGTCGCTACTTTTACCCATATATGGCCTTCCCGTCCTCAAGGGGTTAAACTGCATTCTAACGAGTTTTAGTAATATCGAATAGTCTTCTGTTTTCGAAAATGCAAATAATCTCTACTTCTTTTCTCTGTATTCTAGCACTTTCAATCAAATTTTCAACATCCATCAAGAAGAAAAACACAACGTATCAAATTTGCAACTGGTTTGAATACAATAGGCCTAATTTGTTTATATATATTTTTACTGTTATGCATTATTATTGGTGGAGGTATAATTTTAGTTGTCAAATACTGAAATATGCTTGAATTTGTCATAATGAGTATAGAGTTAAACTTGAAACGGGTTGCCTTTTTTCGCAAGTTATTAAATCTTTGGAACAAAATAATTATTCATGTTCTTTTAGGCGGTATTGCTGTTTGCGTCCTCTATTTTAGTAAGTCTTCAGGTTAAAACGCTATGTGAAGTATAATGTCCAATCGACGTTTGTTTCAGACTCTGTTGCGTCGAGTCAACCATGGAAAATAGTTGGTATTGTTCTGAGTGCTATAACATGTGTGATTGGAATAATACTGATTTCTTTGACCATCTTTAAACAGTCGAGAAATACAAAATGGGATAATAAAAAAACAGAATATTTAATTGAAAGCGAAGCAACCGTTATCGAAGACATGGATGACTATGAAACACCGAGGTCGATGAAACGAAGTAAAAGCATGATTGCTCAACATGAACGAAATGAAATCCATGAGAATCATGTCAACCATGTCAACACTATTTCACGATCAGCCACACAACCACCACGATCAGCCACACAACCACCACGGTCGTCTTCATCAATAACCCATGAAGAACATCATCATAATCCTAATCTCATATTTTGCCCTGGATGTAATCGTCATCATCCTGTTGAACATCAATGTATGTACTCAACCATGAATCGTTTTGGTCACCCTCCATCACCACAAAAATCATATAATAAACAAGAAACAATCGGTGTACAAACCGGTGTTGATGATAAACCAAAAGCTGAACTAATAAAACCTCGACCAAAAACTAAGATTGAAAAAGCCACAATGTCTACCACAACCGAAACACAAACAATTGTCACTACCAGCCCAGCTTCAAATATTACAGAAAGCATAATACTTAGACGAGTACCCATACCAACAGCTAAAGTAGTCGTTCAACAACCAACAACTAAAGTAATGATCGTTAAAGTACCAAATGTGGCTGGACAATTAATTATGCAAAATAACAACAATAATAAGTCACAAGAATCAAATACATAATCAACTTACATGTATAGAAAAAATTTTTGCTCAGCTTTGACTAATTTATGTAGGATATACTCGGTGGGGTTATGAGCATTTATGTTCTACACGTACAGAACCACCAACCAGAAAAAATGAGAGATATGGGATTTTAACACCAAAGATCTTAATTTGGAGCAAAGGGCTTGGATTTTTCAACACAAATATAAGACTATTATAAGGTTTCACCACTGTTACATTTCTTGTGCTTTCATTATAACAGTTCGCATGAGTCTCTTTCTTTATTTTGTGTTTGTTTTTGAAGTACTGATGCTCTAATAATGATGGATTTTTTGGAAAATTATAAAAGTGAGATAGATTTCGATGCATGAATTTCAATAATTTATTTTTACCCGAGACCATGCTGCTTTCACTCATCAGTTGGAGTCTATTTTTCGTCTTCATTCAGAAAAACAGAAATCTTCTATTATTTTGTTTCATGAAATATCGTCTGATAAACTGTTTGTATTCCCTCTCGAGCACTGTTTAATCAGTAGAAGGAGAGAGAAATAGAAAGATTCTTTGCACTTGTTTAATATCTGCTATGAATTTAATATCTAAGAGAATTTATCGGTAATCATAGCACATATTTGAGTTTGTTGAGTAAAAATGATGACTTTTGCCTCAAAGTGATGCACATTTTCGATGAACTATCAAAAATAACGTGATAAATGCTAACTTCTTTAGAATCATGAAAACTCCTATAGCTCATCACAGTTACTGTTGGATTATCTTAAGAAATCTTAAGGTTTTTTCTTGCTTATGTCAGAATTAGGCTGTTTTACCCATTTTTATGAGAAATGTCTGGCTAAAATGCGTGCTTTGTCTAAGCTGTAGCAAAAGACTACGAGATGCACAGAAAACAAAATTTCTGGATTTTTCAGCAATGGTCAAAGGCAAAATTTTGACTTAGTGGAATATCTAAACTTGATTATAATCATATACCTTTTCAGATCGTGATGTGGTGGAATGCACGACACGTTCATTATGTCAAATAGGTTTTCGAAGAAAATAAAAAAAGCTACGTTTTCATGGGTGACGAATGCTGATAGGAAACTGACAGAAAATAAGCAATTTAACTTTCATGTGTTATCAGTACTAAACTAAAGACTAACGTGAAGTATTTTGCTACTGTTTCTCATTTTTTAGTCTACTACCACAAAAACTTTTAATTTTTCAGATTTTTGAAGGTACTTTTGTCGCTGAAATTCTTGCATAAGTCTCAGCCATATGGCTGAAAAACACTTTTAAACAGTAAGGTGTCTAGAAACTTTCCTGAAAAACTCTCAAAAAGACTAGTTCAGGGCATAGAAGTTAGTGCATTCGAAAGAGCACACTTCAGACTATTAAGCCATGTACTTATCTAAAAAGCGACACGACTTTTTAACGAAAAGTGGCATTTCTGACGAGGAAGAGGGGCTTAAAATAAATATCTGATCAAATATGTCAGACTATCGTCTCTCAGAATGTAAATTACATTGATTTCTGATCTCGCAGTGACTTTTATAGTTTTCAAGCAATTTTTCAGAGAATCTGAAAAATTGTTGTTTTTTTCAAACATAATCAAGAAACGTTCGCAGTAATTGAGCAATTTGAACAAAAAAGGTTCATATTCAGTGATTATTTTAAAAGGACACAGTATTACGCATTATTGCGCGAACCTTTAGATACATTTTTTTCGTATTATATAAAGAATCACGAAGAAACCATTTAAACATTACAGTAAAAACAGTTTTAAACCACTGTATAGTATTCGAATTTAACAACGAATTAATTGTAACCCCTATCTCGTCTTACAGCGAACATGACTGAAAACAGAACATCGGGAATTACGAATAAACGTTCTTTTCTGATCTATTTTAAAACAGTTTGCTCGAGCTTCGGGTTTTCTGATGGCTTCCATTGAACATTTCAAGAAGAGAAATCAGGAACGTCTAGATTTCTGACAAAACGTTCTAATCTCTTTGAACAGATATATCAACCATTTTTTATCATAGAAACATCGGAATTTCCGAGAAATGTTTCAGTACTCTATTGACGTTTTCTATCATCATTAGAACGTTCGGGTATTCCATAACCCCTCGAACAGGACGGGCTCTATGTGCCGATGAGGAGAAACATTGTTACTCAAACAATGACCAACAGTCCTGCAGTTGAATGATTGGTTTCTGACACCTAATATTCGCTCTTCTTTACTACAACCCCGTTGTAAAGTCAAGTGATCTTAATAGCATGTTGTTTTTGCTGACATTTCTTGAGAACCAAATATTTTCGCTATCAACTTTTTCTTTACCATTATAGCTCCTATATCGAATTTAATACGCTGTTGTCTTTGTTCTAGATACAGAGAATACCGTCTTAATGTCAGATATTGAAGGTACTCGACAGTCATTAAAGAAAAAGAGGATATTGTTTTGTGGAGATTCCATTGCTCGTGGAATGTACAAAGATTTATGTTTATTGTCCGAAGTTGATAATGATAATAATCGTTTATTAACGCATTCTGAATTGAAATATGATGGTGATGTAAAAATATTTAATGATATCGTACATTTATTTAAAAAAGATCGCAGGAATAGTTACGATAATATCGAACGTCGTGAATATAAGAATATAAGAACAACAATTTTTCATTATCGTATATTTTCCTCCAACAATTTCCGCAGCACTGCCTGTGCTTTCGTTAAAAAACATAAACACAACAAAATGTCAAAATTTCGTAACGAAATTTTACTCCAGTAATAGGATTACCTGGTCATATTTTATGTTCTGTTTAATTAGTTCAGTCGGCTTTATAGCAGAAAACAAGACAACCCCACAAAAATTTCTCACCGTCTTGTCCATAACTCAGTTGATGAAGGTCAGAATTACATCTGAAGAGTAAATACATTTCAGTCATTATTATGTCGCATTACACTGGCTTCGTTCTTGAAGATGATACATTTTTACTTGAACTCCAAACGGCCTTGACAAAATAAACCTCTAGTCCAGGTCCGTCAAAAAATGGTTCAAGTCCGGACTAGGAGTTGCTCATTGCTGCCAACCAATAAAACCGCTTTCATCCAACTTCCTGATTCATAGATAACTTTAAACAGAGAATCAAATTAGATATGATAGAGTAAATCTTTAGAATAATAGAGAGCACTCTTTAGAGAATATTGTGGACTTCATCGATTTTGTCTCAGAAAAAAAGAGTAGAAAATAAGTACACGTTGACGTCATACCAATTTTGAGAATCATGTGTATAATACAGAAGTTCTTCTAAAGTCTCTAAGTCGTTCTAAAGCCGCAACAACCACTACAGCCTACAAACCCAATCATCCATCCACTCAATCCACAACATCGCCGCCAACCACAATGCGTTCGCAACCATGACAACGGCACAACAATCAATGGTCATGAAGCCGGTGAAGGATGCTCATCAAGAGCAACATCAACTGACTATTCTGATTTTATCTTCTGTTGTTGTTTGCATCTATGATAACAACAATTTTTTCCTAACTGAAATAGACATTGTATTAATGTATTTCTTTCTTGAATTGTATTTGAACGAAATATCAAAAATGAACTCGCT